AGAAAATTTAAGGTGTTACATTTTAGTGTTAATACGTGTTAGTAATTAAAAAAACAAAACATTACAGTTCTATATTTGCAAAGATAATTTATAAAAAACAAGTGAGTAAAATCTATTATTAATTTTCCATTAATACGCCAATACAATTACATATAATAATGTCACTTGTTTTCCTAACTCATGCTCAGTTAGTGAGGTATTAATTCTAAAGCATAGATTAAAATACTTGTTTATATGTTTTATATTCTGTTAGGAAAATAAGAACGAAAATTCTACCTTCTTGTTGTAAATAAGGGATGAACATGGTGGCGACTGCAGAGCTAAGAGTCTGATTGGAGGTTCCTGACACGGCGTGATGGCTGCAGCTGCCAATACCTAACAAAATAAAACAGAAAAAACTACTACTTGGAAGATTTTTTTAAGGTCAATTTTAAGTGCTTAAAGGTTGCATTGTGTAACATTTCTGGTGGAGAGTCCATTAAATTCCTTTCTCCATGGAGATGTTATTGCTTTGTCTGGTATGTTTCATTATATGGCATTATAATTTTCTATCTTTATGGAGACTAAACCAGACCAAGTTACAGGTCAGATCTGAGGAGAGGCAATCCCATTCACTGTCTTAATGTCTGTTTTTCTAGGTTTTTTTGAGCTATAAAACCACCTGTAATTGAAGTTAAGGTTGAACTGTTTAATGTCAGAGGACTAACATCTCCATGGAAACAAACAAGTGATGGATCCCAACCAAAAAGTGACATAGATCACCTTTAATTTATGAGCACGTACCTGACAATACGCTCATTTTTTGGGCCACAACTGTAAGCTTCCCTTCAGAGCCTGTGATTATCAACCAAGCACATTACCTTCTGTTCTAATTCAAATTAAATATTCACTGATGAGAAGTAACTGAAATCTTACCGCCAAGGATTTTGAAAAGGTGTGTAACGATGTCCTGAACAGCAGTGGCATCACTGCACTGTTGAGCCAGGTTCTGCATTGCTTCAACAGCCTCTTCCATCAGACGGGGATTGTTTGCCTTCATTTGACCTAAGACAGTGATAAAGGTAAAGGAAATATGTTGTTAAATATTACACAAAGTAAATAAACCAAATGGAAGTAGTGTATGGAGTGGTATATCTTACTTGCAATGGCCTTTCCAATATCCATGGCATACTGGCTAAGGTCAAGAGTTACACTGGACAATAGGCAGGAGATGGCTGGAAAAAGATTATCAGTGGCATATTACTATACAAAAATTTGTATAAAATATTGAGTCTTCAACTCATTATTTTGTTGCTGAGTATATAAAAACCCTCTACTTGATACTGTGAAATAAACAAAAATAAACAAAATACAAGTCTTTTTTTCAACTCCTTTAGAAATCTCAGACAATAATTTCACAACAAATACCATCCATTAGACATTACTATACAATTTGCATAGGGTTAAATTTCAACATAAAAACAGTTATAAATATTTAATAGCGCTTACTCTGCATTGCGTTTTCTGGACTGCGAAGCATGGTCTTCTGAACAGTGGGAAGCAGCAGGTCTTTGAACTCAGAGTGAGAGACGTGACGCAGCAGAGAGCCACTTTTCTCCAGGACATGCTGCTGGGGTTTGGTTTTACTCATCAGCACTGACTTTATGTACAGATCCAACATTGCACTCTACAAAGAAGAGATTAACTTTTGTCAATGTGAAACACTAATTTCTCAAAAAACAACTTTTTAAGATATATCTTTAATCAATTGGTATAAGACATACAAATCTGTGTTATTTTTCTAATTATTATTTTTATTAATTATATCATTTTTTTAGTTATTTAAAAGTTTAACCAAAACACAGCAGAGTTGAATTAGTTACACTGTAAAATTAAATAACAGATGAAAACGAGCACTGCACCAAGATTCTAGCCCTTACCTTATGTTTCTCTATTGTAGCGATATCTTTCTTGGTACTACAGAAGTTCAGACATACTCCAAGCATCACCATTGTAGTAGGGCTCTGGTCCAGGCTCAACAAAGTTGAAATGTAATTATCCACCAGTCCAGGGTACTACAGAGTGAAACAAAGCAATTCAAAATCACACAGAACTCGTTGAGTGTGTAAATAAACCAACCAGCTAAATATATTTTGTAGTAGTATATCTGTACTGTGAAGGTACTGACTTGTTCCCAGAGGTGAGAGAGTTTCTTTAAGCTTGATTTCTGAGCCGTGGATTTTGCCCCACCAACCACTTCAGCCACAAGAAGGCTCTGAACCTCCACCTAGATGTTGAAAGTAAACATATCAAGTTGGCACTTTTTTATGTGATAGTTAAAAGTATGAATTTAATTAATTAAATGTCATTGCAATATAAAATTTTTTAGATCATTTCTTAAAAAAGGATTTAAAATAGATAGTGACAACATCTATAAACTACAGCAACATAATACAACTTTTTGACTGACCATTTTCTTCCAAACAGGGCCTTCTCTTTTCTCTGGAGCCAAAAATACATTTTGGACTAATAGGCAGGTCCAGGAAAGGCCAATAAATGCAGAGGAGCCAGAGCTTTTACTAAAAAGAAAAAAAGAATTAAACAACACATTTTGAGATCACTATTATTAAAAATTTATCTACTCTCTACTATACCTGGGATCACCATTTAGGTTGACAACTCCACTGTTGAGCAGCCACTGGAGGAGGTTGGTAACCAGGATGTCCGGTTGACTCTCGGCCAACAGTGCAATAACAGACAGGAGCTCTCTGCGGGATACTGCATCCCTGGACACACCCCAAAAAATGGTTATAATTACAATTATTTTTGTCTAATTTATCAATGCAAAATATATGCAAATGCAGATAAGACTGGATGTGTTCAACAACTATGAATATTTGTAATTTCAAAAATAAAAACATATGTACTGGCAAGCCCATAGATTTTCTAATAAACCAAAATCTTTTTGTGATTCAATTCCATCTGTTTCTGATAGATAGATTAAAATCATGATTACAGTTTTGTATTATTGAGTAAAACATTTTTGAATTTCAATATTGTATGAAATATTAAACTCATACCGGTATCTGTGTGGTGTGAGGCAGAAAAGTTTGCACAATCCTTTAATAGCCGGTTCTGGTAATGCTACATGGATAATAAGAACATAGAAGTTATTTTGAGCACAAAGTAAAACACAGGGGAGAAAAATTCTCAACAATAACGTACATACTTTTGCCTTTTAAGCATTGTCTGAGCTCCTCACAAATCTCCTTGCGCTCATTGAGACTGGCTGTGGTCACCTTCACAGCAAACTTCTTGAGGGTATCTGTAACCTGGAGAAAATAAGGTTTATTATTATTATTATTATTATTAATTTTACTTATAACAGGAAGGTGAAATCTACAAATAGTCTGGTGAAGTGGGTGAGCAGGAGTGTTCATGATGACAAAGAACAATTTGTTCAGTGACCTCCTGAGCCTTACTGTGACAAATGGATCAGTTTGCCAATACACCCCAGTAGACCACAGTGAAGTACAGGGCGCTAAAGACCACAGACATATAGAAGATCAACAGTAACTTGTTACACACGATGAAAGACCCAACCTCCCTCTTCTTCTACTGTATTACTATTGTCCTTCAAGTCTAACATTGTAGCAGCCTACCACTTCCACTTCTTGGCCCTGGATGGTGATGGGGCTGGGGCTTCACTGGTGTCATTTTACTCCTGAAGTCAATGACCAGTTCTTTTGTTTGTCCAAGTTCAGAAGCAGATGGTTTGACTCAGACAACTCCACAAAATTTGCAAACAAACTGAATCACCACAGGTACAATTTGGTCACACGAGAAATATTATTGCTACAACAAAGTAATTACTGTTTTATGTCAAGTATTAACACATACATTCTTAATCTCATACACATTATCACAAAATAAGTTTTCTTATTTTATTTGTTGATTAAAATTGCAATGATGAGCAAAAAGAAAAATCTTGTTTACCAACAACTGGATATTAGAAATAGCACACATGCATTTAGCTGTATTACTCTTATTCTAAGATTTGGCTCGATATTAAAATGGTGTAAGAAATAAGAAAGTTTAGAATGAGGAGCTATCATACAATAAACATTTTTGCAAGTTTTGGCAACAATCTGCTACCTATTAGCAGCAATGACAACCTAACTGCTACTGATCATTTCAATAAAATACAACAAAATCTTAAATCTTGTCGACACAGCTCAAACGAATTCATTTTTACGAGTCATAATAGAAAATGCCTACTCGTGATGGAGCCACTGGGAGTACGTTGCATAAAGCTAGCAGCCACAGGGCTAATGAGTTACTGTTACAGCGGATATTTCACAAAGATCTCACTAAAAATAACAACAGCCCGAAAAGTTCAAACATGGGTCTAAGTGGCCTGAGCGACCACGCCACATCATTGCTTTATGGTTGACATTAAAAGAGAAAGTGGAGAGTGAAAAAAAGCCACACAAACCTGCGTGTCCGCTGCCATCTTGCCGGGTGATGCAGGAAGAACTTGGTGACGCTACTTCCGGGTCAAAGACTACAAAATAAAATTTTAATATAATAATAAATTGTAATGATGGATCTATTAAAACAACTTTTGTAATACAATAGACTGATTGTAATGCAGTAATTTCTCAATAATACCCATGACCCTAACCCAAACGTTATCATTTTGGGGAACTATGTGTTTATTAGTTTTGCATATTAACCAACCCCTCCAATTAATACGCGAATAAAATAGAGGTTAACACACCAGAACAGAGGACCAGATGTCACAATTTATTCATGAGTTACATAGATTGTAATAATTTTAATAATGTAATGTTTTAATATTTACAGTCTACAATTAAACAGGGTTTGTTCATTTTTTCTTCATTCTATCAAAACTCAATTAATCATAATAATTTCCGTCAGTCATCAGTCAGATTTAAATTTCCTTACATCTGTACAAAGTTAGGGAATTTGCATTTTGTTAATAATAATAAAAATAGACATTCACATAGACCTTCTTTTATTTATCGAAACAAAGACAAAATCTCCAAATGACAACATTTTAAAATAAAAACTCTTTCCTCATCTGAAGCTCTTAAAATTAGCAATAATGCTTGTTATTCAGTATTATATTACAATATTTTTGGCCTGTCCAAATGTTTGTTGTACTTTGACAGTATAACTGGTGATTTTATATTATACACTGTAATTTCTCTGTCCAACTAAAATACAACAGCTTTGATCAAGGCCAATTTCTTACCATTCTAACTTTTTTTAACACCACGACCTAAACCTACTAAAATGTTGCAGTGATAAAACACAATCATTACAATCAATTCACTCAATAGTTATTGTCCACATAAATATTTCACTTATGTGGCTTTGAATTTCCAATAATCAATATTGAGTGACAGTGAGAACCAACATGTGAAAACTAATTAAAATTATATGAGATTGTTAACTTATACCAGTTTCCAAATGTAATATTCAGTCCTAGTACTGAGCCATAAATTCAAATTGTCCACATTCATAACTTATTGAATTTGTTTGGTGCAGTGGGTTAGATGTTCCACACCAACCAAATCTTGTCAGTGTCTACTCTATAGTGATGTTGTGTCACGAAGCAAGACATCTACTTTGAAAAAATATTATTAGGCACAGATTTTACTAAATATCTTTGCAAATATGTCAATATAGTTAACACTGTTTAAAAGGGAGGACTAATAATAGTTCTTTTTTTTCAGTTGTTATGTGGACAAGTTTACTATATGCTCAGCGTGTTACCAGTGCAGCCGCTGACATGTGAGTGGTACCGTAATCAACTGAGGGTAATAAAACGTGGAGTCTGTCGTCCATAAATATCTCCACAAAACAGAGGAGTAAGAAGTTCAGGTAAAACAGCACAACACTTATCTTTACACAACTTCTACCTCAACCATTTTAGTCCATGTCAGAAAACAACTTAATTCTGTGTACTTTGCACAATAGCGTACACTATGAGTCCAATTATGATGGCTCCGACTGCGATTCCAATAGCAACAAAAATGATTTTCATCTTGTTGTTCTCCCATTGTTTCTGTTGCTTCACCTTCACAGTTGTCTTCTCAAAGGCTTTACTCTGGAAAAGAAACAATATTCAAGTTACTTCAGTTTACTCTAGTCTAAGTGTAACATTGTCAAAAGTCAGTTCCCCATACCATTGTTATTGACCTTATTCCACCATGCCCACTTTTGCATCAAAATGCTACCAAATCACACTGTGGTGGCACTTCTGGTTAAATGCAATCAATTCAGAATTAATTTATTTCAAGAAAAGAATTACAAACAGGGCTATAATGGTGGTAACAAATAACAAGTCCTATCTATCTTTTAAAACAAGCAAGCAAATCATAATGTTTAATTATTTCCCAGGAAAATCCAAAAGGCACCTGTTGAATGAACAATTCGGTAAGACTCAGTAACATAATTTCAGTTTTGTCATATCTGTTTTCTTACTTAGGTGTTGGACATTCAGGAGGATATAGTGAAGTTGATTTCATATACTAGGTCTGCCGGAAGCTATTGTAATATTGTTTTTTCCCTTTTACAACAATGCCCCACAATTAACACACTTTGGTCTGGACGTCCGCCATAGTTCCTCAATTAGTTTTTCTTGTTCATGCACTGCTAATTTTAGCTGCCAGTCTTTTTCTAGCCACTACAAAAACATTCACTTTTCCTATTTTTGTCCCTTGAGCTGCCGTGTGATGTAAGGAGTCCCATACGTGGGAAGGAGGTGACCCAGTATTTGACCCGGATGGATTTTGGCCCAGTGGCACATCCTGGACTCTCTCTGTTGTACCCAGCTTGCCTTTCTTCATCTAAGGAAACAATAAGAAATACCTTTCCCAAAATATCCCCCATCAGGATGTAAAATTGTTACATTTGTTTTTCCTTGCCGCTCCACCTTAAGAGTATTTATAGGCAGCAAAATGACATTTCCGACACTGAATCCCCAGACGCTGCTTTGTGGCATGTTGCATAAGTTAAGCTCATCCGTTTGACCCAAGAGAAAGGACTAAAATAGTTTTCAAAAGTACACAAGCCAAAAATATAACATATCTAACCTGCCTTCTGTGTTCATTGTTCTGAGAAGTAAAGCTCATGCAACATTTTCCAATCAATAATAGGTCAAATAGTGAAGGGTTTTTGTGGGGCAAATGTGTCTGTTTTGATGCTACTTTTCTTTCTTTCACTTTGATTAGTGCTCAGCTTTTATGTTTATTTTGTCATTTGTATTTAGTATAGTATGTTTTGGTTCTTTACTTAAATATTATGGTGGAGAATATAGGCCTATTCTTATTTTGAAACAGAAGAAGTTTCTCATGATTTTCCTTTCATGTGAGCCAACACAATTCCCGCTGAATTCACTAAAATAGTGTTTAGTCTAATTTTAACTTGTACTTGTAATTGTACTTGAGCTTGGGCATTTCCAGTTTCTAGAGAATGTCATTGATGTGCATCGATTCTCTCTCGTCACAAGTGAGAAAAAGGTCTCACGTTGTCCTCAACACTCTCTTTCCATCTCGAGAGTCTATACTCTTACACACTCTTTTTCAGGTAAGGTGTAATAATGATAATACACTTGTAATGCGCCCTTATCAAAGCCTCTCAAAGCACTCCTCTGTAGTCATTAATCATTCACTCCATACTCGATTGTGGTAAGCTACAATAGCAGCCACAGCTACCCTAGGGCAGACTAATGGAAGCAAGGCTGCCATCTGCCATTGGCCCCTCTGATCACCACTGCTCTAACTATCCCAGGTCAGTGATCTCCTCTCTGTTCATGAACTCCTCTTCCATGCTCCTCAAATTCAAGGCGTTTTATCTTTCTTTGTGCATCTCTTCTCTCTTCTCAAAAGGTTAATTAGCCACTTCAAGAGTGGACTATTAAATGTGCTATGCAGAAATACTTACTGTCTTTAAAATTGACTTTTGAGAGGTGGAATAACTGTAATAACTGTAAATGTACCCCAAATAAACCCACATTAAAAATCTTTTTTATAACCAGATTTCTTTTAGCAATTTATAATTACCTCACTAAAAACATTGGCAATTACATCGGCTAGTGGCACCTCCAATTGTCTTTAGCAGTATCTGTTTCCCACATCCATACGGGTCAGGCCTTGGTAGAAGGAGCAACGTTTTAGCTTACTGTGCAAACTACTGAAAAAAGCAGAAAGCAGGCAATGTTGTGTTGAGATGTACACTATTCTTACCAAGACAGCTTGATATTAAAGTTCCCTGTTTCTTAATGATTTTAATCTTTTATCTTAATATTTTAATTATGCGGAAGTCAGTGTTTCCCCATGGAATTCCTTCAGTCTGTGGTGGCACAACATATTTTTAAAATAACATTTTGTTCTCCTAGAATTGTGGAATATAAAATTTCTTTTTTTTTTTGTTTAGGACAATGTTTAGTCCACATGGCTTTGGGGGTAATTTTTAGAATTTGTGGGGCCACCATAGTTTTATTTAGCCTACTCTGAGATTTTGAACATTTTTGCTTCAAAGGAACATCAAACTTGTATTTGATGTAAAGACACTCTTACCTTTAGCAGCAGATTGTCAGCTCGCTCCTCCAGATCGGTGAGTTTGCCCGCTCTCTCATCTGCTTTGTTTAAATTGTCCACCATGATGATTTTGACCTCCTCCACCTCCTCCTGGGTCTTCTGCAGGCGGCTCCTCCCATTCTCCTGGGAAAAAATACCAGGAATGGGAATTAGGCAGTCATTAAAAAGAATAGAGTTAAGTCTGGGTTTTACTGGGACAGAGATTTAAACATGTTTTAGGGTAAATAAGACTCTGTGAAAGTCACCTACAAAGGAGTGCTATAATTAAGAGCTTATGTCGTTTTGAGTCCTTTAAGCAGGGGACGCTATGTACCAGATTTTATCAAAGATGATGCAGTAAATTAGAGGGCTAATATTTGCATTTTTTAGTATATCAGTTATCATCATTAACTCTCCAGGACAGGCCTTTTTTAAGGACGACCTGTAGCATATAAAGTTTGATTTGAACACTGCTGCTATGAAATAAGTGACCACACAGCTCTCTTGTGGGTTTTTGGTAAAAATGGCTGTGGTTGAGTTTGTAGTATATTCAAAAGATATTATAATGGATTGACATAATATCCATCAGAAATGTGCCTTTAATGTCACTTGCAATATGGAATGGACCATAAACTTTGTGCTTTTAATGAATCAGCCTTTTTAAATATATATTTTTGTTACAGAATATAAATTGATACTGATATTATTATTTCGATAATCTCTAAAATCCCATGCCTAACTGTAAAACATGTGAATACGATAAAATATTATTCATCTAAGTATAACGTGGAACATTCATAATTATCAACAAACTGCCCATTGTATGGATGAACTCACCATGAACATTTTAAAACAACCATCGTGTTGGAGCCATATGGCCTGCCTGTACCTCCCGCCACAGTGTGGCACTAGTTCTAATTTGTTATGTAATTTGCTACCCTATATAAGGGGGAAGAAAAGGTGCACACAGGTGTTGGAGTGTGGAGGTATACAGTCTTTTGACACTGTAGCGGCTAAACTTGCCCTGTGCAAGGTCCGCTATGACTGCAGCGTGTCGTGTCTCGGATGAGTGTCTTCCACATGGCATCTGTGCTTTCATCTCTGAACTACATTATGTAGATTATAAAGTAAAACTAAGCACAATTTCTGAAATTGCAGCACCAGGTGCAAGGATGTGGCAAAGATTTTAAAAAAAAAGCATTATGTATGATAAATGTGATGTAGAAAATCCCAGCCCCCTGTTTTCTTACATACATAAATGGACATGGCAAAAATCCCTCTTAACACTCATAGACATTGAAACATGAGCTTCTGACTGATACAGTATGTAGCTTTGGTCGTTATACTCAGTTGAAGCACATTTTGCCACTTTTAAGTAAATGCACATAATTCAAAATGTGGCATTTTCCTGTTGATTACAGGTGGTTTGTTTTTCTTGCACTATGTCAAAATGCTGTGATATCACAGATATCACACTTCCTACTGCAGTGTACACTCTTTTCCTTAACTCTATCAATCATCAGATTTCCAAAATCTCACACAAGCATGTCTTCCTTATGGAGTGCTGTTGAATGAGCAGGAGCCAAGCAATCATGAGTGGTCCATGACCACATTTTCAAGAAAATATTTTAGTTTAATATTCCCGGCTGAGTACCTTAAGCAGGCAACCAGTGGTGGATGATTAGTAGAGTTTCACATTAATGTTCACTAGGACAGCAAATATGGAGAGTGCTGGCTTTAGAGAATATATATGAATCAAGTGTATCATTGATGAAAATCAGAAATTGTATAAATAGGTATAAATAGGTTCTAGAGTTGAAACCTGAACTACACAAAAAGCCAAAAGCCAAAACCAGTGGTAGAACCTAACATAGCACATAATCAAGTTGAACAGGTGTTTAAGGATCACATGCATAGTTTGATTTGCTCCTGAATGATGTAGGCTATCTCCATTAAAGAGTGAAGTAAAACCTAAAATGAAAACAGAAACAAGTTATGATGGTGATGAAACCTGGTCCAACAGGTTTAACTGCCTCAGTCATCTGTGTTTGCTACAAAAACAAAGGAAGCACTTCAGTCTGAACCACATGGCCGGCTCTGCACGAGGAGATTCATGCAGAGACACTGGGCCTACATGGAGCAGTTTGTTTTCAGTGGAAATCTGCCACTCACAATGTGAAGTTTAACAAACAAACAAAAAAAAATAAAAATAAAGAAAACTAGAAAATCTGCCAAAAAGTAAATAAATAAATAAGATAAGCTGTAGAGCAGGACTATAGTTTAAAAGATTTGACTGAAATCCACAATCAAATCAATGGTTCAAATGGATTTGATTATTAAAGTTAAGGTACACTTTGATGGAGAAATCTGTCTTCTGCATTTGACCTCTCAGACACAGTGACTCATCATTAGATTTTGAGCAAAGCTAATAAGGCAGTGCATTTGGTATAGAGCTATTCAGTGGATAGAGCCAAAGTGACTGAATAAGAAACAGTGTACAGGCCTTTATAACCTGCTCTGATTAAAAAAAAAAAAAAAAAAAAAAAAAAAAAGGGTGTGTTTGTTTCTGGTTTGTTTGCCTCTCCTTGACCTCTGCCCTTTGACCCCCGAGCCTCAGGAAGTAAGATTTTGACAAGAGCAGGAAACACCTCGATGCTCTTCATATTTGTGTCACTTCCTCAAAACTTCTAACAATAGTTCTGTTTTTTGTGTCCACTCAAAGTCCAGGCAAGGTCTTAACCAGCACTGAGTCAGGTCTCTGCTGTAGATAAGTTGTAACCCACAGGACAAAGACAGATGTAACTCAAGATGAAATTAAACAAATCCATGCCAAATTAGTTCTAAAAAAGCCTGTCCACAGGAGGGCCAAAAAGAATAAACTGGACAGAATCCACTAAAACTATTTGTCTTCATGTTGCTTCTTCTGCGCTGTCAGTGGTTCATTCATACACACCGTACATGCCAGAACATGTCTGAACACGATTGTTACCAGTTTGATCTAAAAATGTGATTTTAATCAATTATTAAGCAGTCCTGCATTTTAGGTCCTCCCTTTATTTCCACGTGACAGACATGAGCAGATACAGAGCGAGGCGTGACAGCTTTTCAATAGAAAGCCAGAATCGATGGAGCCAGAAGCGCGTCCATGCTCACTTCCTATTTGGTTAGCTATGTCCATTTATATAAACAGTCTATGTCCTCCCACACACAAACACTGAAGTCTCCAAAGGCATAAAAAGATGAGCTCATTTCACATTAGTCATCGGTCACTCGATCACAGCACGACCTGAAGAGAACAAAGGGGACCGCAGATGGGACCCCGACTGAGAGATACGAACACTTAAAGAGGTTTAAAAAGGACAGGAAATGACATCACGGAGGAAAAAATGCTCTCATGGGTTCTCAAATTATTGTTTCATTTAATGGTACTGATGATTTGTGGTTTTATATTAAAATTACCCTGGTTTAAACTTTGATCGAGTCCAGTTAAAGATTTAAACTATAATCTTGAGTTAGTCCTGGTTCGGTGCACATTTTGTTCTTAAAGCCACGCTGTGTAACATTTCCGGGTATGGGCACGCAAATTCCTTGTTAAAGACTTCGGGAAATTCGCAGCACTAAAACTATTTAGAAGTCAGGTCTGTGGAGAGACAATCCCGCTTGCATTAAGTAAGGATTCACATTTTTCTAAGTATTTCTGAGCATAAATGATTGTTCTAATATGAATACTATTACTTAAAGGTACACTATGTAACTTTTTGCTTGGGGCGTCGTCACCTGCTTGTAGGGCTGCTCGATTATGAAAAAAATCATTATCAAGTTTATTTTGGTCAATATTGAAATCACATTTAAATGATTTTTTTTTGTTACGCAATGCATTTATTCAGCATTTCTCTCTCAAAAAAACACTTTGTTATTGATAATTTACACAAAACATTTAAATTGAAAGTTAAATTCAGGCTACAAATATGAACCTTAGAGCAGTTTTGCAATGTATAAAAAAAAAAAATTAATAAAATATTTTGAACATGAAATAAGACATAGAAAAACATAAATGTATCCAAAATAAACTATATATCCAGCTGTTCTACAATCTCTGAACTTATGAAAATAAAATAAATATACTTATTTATATAACAAAACCATCCCAAAATAAACTTTCAACTCGATTATATGAGTTTGGAGATCGTTTGACACACAAATCGAAATCACAATCAAAATTAAACAGCTCTACTTTACATTTATTCAGTTAAAGGTGGTTTTATAGATCAAAAATACCTACAAAACAGGGATTTTGACTGTGAGCGGGGTCGCCTCTCCACAGATGTGACCTGTAACGTGGTCTGGTTCAGTTTCCAGGAAGACAGAAAGGTTTAATATCATACTGTGAAACATTCCGATCAAGGTAATTTCCGATCCGAAAGTAAAAATGGAGAAACTAATTCGACGGACCTTCCAGCTGAAAAATTACACAAAGAACCTTCGATTTAATGGCTGAAATGTTACACAATAAGACTTTAATTAGTACCACATTATCATTTTAGTAATAGTGTTCATCTTTTACATTTCAGTACCTGTTTGAGAATCCAACTTCCAAACGTGAGGTGAGAAAAGCCAGAGAGGAAGTAATAACTCAACGTGACAGTGATGAAAAATGGGAGGCTTAATAATGAATGGGACATATATATTTGCGAGAGTTCTTAAAGGACAGGAAGTGACATCATCGAGTGAAACGGCCTTTGAAGCTGAAGCTGATCGAAGTGAAAGGAGTCTCTGTGCTCCTGAGGCGGCCGCAGTAAAACAGTGAGGGGCACATTCCTGACTCTGCTCCCGAACCACAACAACAATAAAGTCAAGATCAGCATTAAACACAGCTGTGCGCAATACATCTGCAAGGCACTACTGTACTACTACTACTACTAATACTATTACTAATACTACTACTAATACACCTACTACTACACTGCTCAAAGTACGTACAATGCTCCCATTAAAAACGACGACTACTAATACTGCTAATTTCAATTGCTTCCACTGTTGACCACAAATATATACTACTTACTACTACTACTACTACTACTACTACTACTGCTACTACTATTGCTAAAAGTACTATTTTGAAAGCTCCTATTACAAACAACCTCCTAGTATTATCCATCCTAGTGTTACAAATATCACCAACTACTACTACTGTCACTACTACCGCTTCTGCTACTACTACTACTATCACTACTACTACTACTGCTACTGCTACTACTGCAAATATTACTACTACTACTACTGCTGCTACTACTACTGCAACTATTACTACTACTGCTGCTACTACTACTGCAACTATTACTACTACTGCTGCAACTATTACTACTACTGCTGCTACTACTACTGCAACTATTACTACTACTGCTGCTACTACTACTGCTGCAACTATTACTACTACTGCTGCAACTATTACTACTACTGCTGCTACTACTACTGCTGCAACTATTACTACTACTGCTGCTGCTTCTACTACTGCTGCAACTATTACTAGTACTGCTGCTACTACTACTGTTATTATTGCTGTTACTACTGTTGCTACTACTGCTACTTTTACTTCTATTGCTGCTACTACTACTATTACTACTACGGCTACTGCTACTGTTACTACTACTACTGCTACTACTACTACTATTACTACTACCACCACTTCTATGGCTACTGCTACTGCTACTACTACTACTACTACTATTACTACTGCTGCTGCTGCTGCTGCTACTGCAAAAAGTACTATTTTAAATCCTCCTATTACACACAATCCCTGCTACTACTACTGTTGCTACTCCTATTGCTAAAATACTTTTTTGAATCCTAGTATTACAACAACAACTACTAATACAACCACAACTACCACTACTACTGCCAGTACCACTACCACTACCACCATGACTACTACTACTACTACAACTGCATCAGCTGACCCCACACTCTACTCGTGTTAATAGCATCACTAGTAAATTTAGATTACAGTAGATCCTTATTATATCTTTGTTCTCAGCTGCTTGTGTAAAACATACCAAAAATGCCTCCGCATTATTCAAAACTGACACTATCGTCACAGCAGCAGAAGAATAATTTCCAAACCACACACTCCTCCACTTTAGAACTGAGTCAACTGCACATGAAGCATTTTAAAAGACGTGTGACTCAGCTGACGCGCACGTAAAAGTCTGACCGTCCAGTGTGGTCTTGAACGCACCATCCCTTACCTCACTGTCTGTGGCGGTGATGAGCCAGACCCCCTCAGAGAGACCCACCATGATCCACGACACACACACACACACACACACACACACACACACACACACACACACACAGCTGCATCACGCTCACAGTACAGTTTTCCGATTGAAACTGGACCAGCACATAAATAATAAGATCCTACTGGCCTCACCATATATGCAGTTTTACACTTAAGTACAACAGTATGAAATATTCGAGTTATTTAAAGGTCACATATTACACAAAATAGACTCTTGTGAGCTTTGAGCCGTGTTACAATGTTCTTACCTCCTCAAAATCAAACCTGGAGTTGTGTTTTGTTTCATTCACACATGTTTGAGTAATCCTTTATTATTAGTCTGTCTACAACACCAAAGTTCATAATGCTCTGTTCCAACTTGTGATGTCATGAAGTGGTAGTTTTCAAGTTAACAGCCCCTTTTACCTTTAGTTTAGTAGAGATTGGTATTTCCAGGGCTGAAATCATCCAAATGATTGTAGTGTATGAAGGTTAAACATATAGTGTAATGTATTACCACATGACGTCACAATAATAATGGATCGGTTTTATATAGCGATTTTTTGGACACTCAAAGACTTTTTACAGCATTATTCTTTCACAACTTGGTATTGGTGCAGACTGATGGAAGCGAGGCTGCCATTCTGCACCATCAGCTCTTCTGACCAATCATCACCAATCACACGCACACACCACTTTTTTACTGGGCTATGTGGGTGTAGAGCCTTGCCTAAGGACACAATGGCAGTTTTTTGCCACTGGAGTCCTACTGTGGCACTTGGTATTCCCAGTGGTCTCCCATCCAAGTCCTAACCAGGCCCAGCCTTGCTTAGCTTTTGAGATCTGATGAGATCAGGTTTTAATAAACCACTATGGCCACAAGGTGGAACAGAGTGTTTTTAGTTTGAGAAAAGAACAAAATGTGAAGAATTTCTGTTTTAAACATGTGTGGCTGAAACAAAACACAACCCAGGTATGTTTGTGTTGAGGAAACAACATTATAACAGATCAGAAAACAGTGTAATACTGCTCTTTACTAACTACTTTAAATACTTTCTGTAGGCTTGGTATTTCTGTAAAATTTTGGTGCATATGAAAACACGTATAGGCAAGGTAAATGAAGGGGAACTAAACAGTCTACCCTGTGGTTAGTGGGCACAGAGCAAATAATACAACAACTTTGATAAACCAGTGCATATTTCCATCAACATTCCTCAAGTGAAAAAGGCTTAATCACAAACAGTAAAAGCTCTTTGTAGATCGTGTGGTGAAAGTGTGCAAACTTTAAACCAAAACGCTCGTCCTACCTTGAACTCGTGTAGCTGCTGTTTGATGGTGTCCACCTCTGTCCCCACCACGGCCTGAGCCTCCAGCCCCTCCTCCGCCCGTCCCAGCATGCTTTGCAGCTCGGAGACCAGGCGGTAAAAGTCCCGCACGCGCTCAGAAGCATCCTCGATCTGATCCAAGCGGGCCTGACCACGCTCACTCAGCTAAAAGAGAGACATGATTTATTACATAAAAGAAACATAAAATAAGGTGGCGAAAAATATTTTAAACGGCATTAGCATTTTTTCACTTGTATTATATTGCAAATCTTCTACATCACAAATCATTACATTAGTTCTTCTTATTCACCTTGCCCGCCTGTCGACTCAGCGCCTCGGTCTCTCTCTCCTGAGGGCGAGCAGGTCTGGAGATGACCCCTCTCTTCGGAGCATGTTGGTACATTCGGCGGCGTGGGCCTCGAGCTGGGACCTCACTGTGCTCAAACGGGACAGGAACCCTTTGAGCACGTCTGCCTGGGAGGAGAGGGAGTCTGCGTCCCTCCCCACGGGGCAGAGGGAGTCCAGCTCATCGTCCAGATCGGCCAAACGAGAGAAGACGTCGCGCACATGAGACTGGACCTCACCTCACTGACGCCCTGCAGACGCGACTCCAGAGACGAACAGCAAGACTCGATCTGAAGAACAGATGGAGGAGATAAGTTCAGAAAATGCATGGATTTTAACAGTTTTACTTGTTTTACTCTAACATGAGCCACATTTTATGCTCATCATGTGTAAGATAATTTATTAAAGCCACAGTATGTAAGTTTTAAGAAAAGTTAGTTTTATGTTTTATCATTTTGGTTGTGTTTACAGCATTAAAAAACATCAAATAACACAATGTCCTTCCAGTTCGGGGGCCTGCATCTCCACAAACCTCTTTCATTTGGCCTGCTGACCTCATCTTGCTTGTTTCATTGGCTTTTATCTTCCATAAAATGTATCATAGAAGTCTGGTTTTAAATTCCTATTTCTGTGAAATCATGCAAATAAAGTGCCACCTCCATAAAGTCACATAGTGTACCTTTAAGTGAGTTTATCCATTTTACAGAGATTGATATTGATTGTGAACTGGTTACTGTTGTAGAAGTTTTCAGCTTGTCTAAGAAAGAGTAGAAATAAAAGGCTGGAGACCAACGGATGTCTTAAGCAGGACAAGTATATTTACGATCAATAATTTGGGCCCGGGGGACTTGAAAATTCAACATAGTATGAATTCAAAAGAGAACATAATATAATAATTGAGTGTTCAAGCCGCTTGACTCTGCTTCCAGAGAAGGAGGTTTATAAAGTAAGTGTGCTGAGACTATGAAGGCCAGTAGACATCGGTTAGACAGAAATATGCCACAATTTAGATAATGATGTGTCAATGATGTGCCAAGGGAAGATGATCGTGTGACTATAGCTCCTGTGAGTCAATGTTAAACTGTAGGTGGAGGATAAATTACTTAAATTCTCTCACAGTTACTAGTCAGACTGAATGTAAAAAAAAAAAAAAAAAAGATTACTGACAGATGTGCCTAACGTCCGTAACGTCCAATATAAAACAAATATATAAAAGCAAACAAAAGAGCTCTGGAACAAGCCAATAAACTGCTAAGTCACTACTGATAAACACAAGTATCACACTGTTGCATCTTATACTTCAGTATTTAGCATGTTAAAATCTCTGTTGGTTTAACATTAGGTCAACTGAAAAATCAGTGGAAAATACATTCAGTTTACTAGATTTTTTGTTGCATAAGCTGACACTGAAGGTTCAGAGGAGCAGTGACATACATTACTGTGGCACATATTCACAGCACCTACGTGTGACCCACTTATGGATCCTGAGCCACCAGTTCAACAAGTCAGTTTGAACTATGCTTAAATTATATAGGATGAACTCATTTAAAACCAATATTTTTTGACATTTATTGTATCACATATCATCTTTGCTGATCCTGATAAGAACTGTGTATTATTTACTCTAAAAGACAATTCCAAAGTATAAATAGATTTTTGAAAAAGTTTTATTCACGTGGTAGGACTCATAACTCTACCATACCATTGTCTATTTAAAGAATATTAAAAACAGCATTAAATAAACTAAAGTAGCGCCAGACATGTCAGAGCAAAACTCCTACTTGGCTGGTTTACATTTCACACCATGACAAAACACTGCATGTCCACAATGACCATAAAAGACAACTGTAAGCCAAAGATCCAACCGTCAAAACAACTGTGGAGCTGCTCTGGTTTATCTCAATGTTAGAACACTTAACACCGCGCACCTACACACACAAATATATGCACACCAAAAATAACCCACACCTCCTCGCCATGACCGCGTGTATAAATAGGGCTACTGCTTTTGCATTTCTTCACTCACAAGCTCATAAATTAAAACTCTATCTAGGCACCACCGCTACCTATGTCCATGATGTTTCAATTTGTGCCCTGTTTACGTTGGGTTTTCAGCAGTTTTCATTGGCTGTAGTTTTGCCCAAAAGGGAAAACATTTAAGACGGCGTTGATAGCTAAAGCTGTGCTACAAAAATACACAAACAAGCCGCTTTCTTTACATTTTATGAGGTGCTGAAAGAGTCGGATGCCCCGGAGTATTTGGGCAAGCTTTGAACAAATACGCCTAATTTATACATCGACATGCGACTCGTAAAAGGTTTTTCCTATATTGACAGAGTTTTAAAGGGATTTCTACACACTAAAATTCCTTTAAACACTACTACTATTGTTATCGCTGTTATTGCTACCATCAGAGTAAAACATTAAAGAGGAGGTATTANCAGTCTGTGGTGGCACAACATATTTTTTAAAATAACATTTTGTTCTCCTAGAATTGTGGAATATAAAATTTCTTTTTTTTTTTGTTTAGGACAATGTTTAGTCCACATGGCTTTGGGGGTAATTTTTAGAATTTGTGGGGCCACCATAGTTTTATTTAGCCTACTCTGAGATTTTGAACATTTTTGCTTCAAAGGAACATCAAACTTGTATTTGATGTAAAGACACTCTTACCTTTAGCAGCAGATTGTCAGCTCGCTCCTCCAGATCGGTGAGTTTGCCCGCTCTCTCATCTGCTTTGTTTAAATTGTCCACCATGATGATTTTGACCTCCTCCACCTCCTCCTGGGTCTTCTGCAGGCGGCTCCTCCCATTCTCCTGGGAAAAAATACCAGGAATGGGAATTAGGCAGTCATTAAAAAGAATAGAGTTAAGTCTGGGTTTTACTGGGACAGAGATTTAAACATGTTTTAGGGTAAATAAGACTCTGTGAAAGTCACCTACAAAGGAGTGCTATAATTAAGAGCTTATGTCGTTTTGAGTCCTTTAAGCAGGGGACGCTATGTACCAGATTTTATCAAAGATGATGCAGTAAATTAGAGGGCTAATATTTGCATTTTTTAGTATATCAGTTATCATCATTAACTCTCCAGGACAGGCCTTTTTTAAGGACGACCTGTAGCATATAAAGTTTGATTTGAACACTGCTGCTATGAAATAAGTGACCACACAGCTCTCTTGTGGGTTTTTGGTAAAAATGGCTGTGGTTGAGTTTGTAGTATATTCAAAAGATATTATAATGGATTGACATAATATCCATCAGAAATGTGCCTTTAATGTCACTTGCAATATGGAATGGACCATAAACTTTGTGCTTTTAATGAATCAGCCTTTTTAAATATATATTTTTGTTACAGAATATAAATTGATACTGATATTATTATTTCGATAATCTCTAAAATCCCATGCCTAACTGTAAAACATGTGAATACGATAAAATATTATTCATCTAAGTATAACGTGGAACATTCATAATTATCAACAAACTGCCCATTGTATGGATGAACTCACCATGAACATTTTAAAACAACCATCGTGTTGGAGCCATATGGCCTGCCTGTACCTCCCGCCACAGTGTGGCACTAGTTCTAATTTGTTATGTAATTTGCTACCCTATATAAGGGGGAAGAAAAGGTGCACACAGGTGTTGGAGTGTGGAGGTATACAGTCTTTTGACACTGTAGCGGCTAAACTTGCCCTGTGCAAGGTCCGCTATGACTGCAGCGTGTCGTGTCTCGGATGAGTGTCTTCCACATGGCATCTGTGCTTTCATCTCTGAACTACATTATGTAGATTATAAAGTAAAACTAAGCACAATTTCTGAAATTGCAGCACCAGGTGCAAGGATGTGGCAAAGATTTTAAAAAAAGCATTATGTATGATAAATGTGATGTAGAAAATCCCAGCCCCTGTTTTCTTACATACATAAATGGACATGGCAAAAATCCCTCTTAACACTCATAGACATTGAAACATGAGCTTCTGACTGATACAGTATGTAGCTTTGGTCGTTATACTCAGTTGAAGCACATTTTGCCACTTTTAAGTAAATGCACATAATTCAAAATGTGGCATTTTCCTGTTGATTACAGGTGGTTTGTTTTTCTTGCACTATGTCAAAATGCTGTGATATCACAGATATCACACTTCCTACTGCAGTGTACACTCTTTTCCTTAACTCTATCAATCATCAGATTTCCAAAATCTCACACAAGCATGTCTTCCTTATGGAGTGCTGTTGAATGAGCAGGAGCCAAGCAATCATGAGTGGTCCATGACCACATTTTCAAGAAAATATTTTAGTTTAATATTCCCGGCTGAGTACCTTAAGCAGGCAACCAGTGGTGGATGATTAGTAGAGTTTCACATTAATGTTCACTAGGACAGCAAATATGGAGAGTGCTGGCTTTAGAGAATATATATGAATCAAGTGTATCATTGATGAAAATCAGAAATTGTATAAATAGGTATAAATAGGTTCTAGAGTTGAAACCTGAACTACACAAAAAGCCAAAAGCCAAAACCAGTGGTAGAACCTAACATAGCACATAATCAAGTTGAACAGGTGTTTAAGGATCACATGCATAGTTTGATTTGCTCCTGAATGATGTAGGCTATCTCCATTAAAGAGTGAAGTAAAACCTAAAATGAAAACAGAAACAAGTTATGATGGTGATGAAACCTGGTCCAACAGGTTTAACTGCCTCAGTCATCTGTGTTTGCTACAAAAAACAAAGGAAGCACTTCAGTCTGAACCACATGGCCGGCTCTGCACGAGGAGATTCATGCAGAGACACTGGGCCTACATGGAGCAGTTTGTTTTCAGTGGAAATCTGCCACTCACAATGTGAAGTTTAACAAACAAACAAAAAAAATAAAAATAAAGAAAACTAGAAAATCTGCCAAAAAGTAAATAAATAAATAAGATAAGCTGTAGAGCAGGACTATAGTTTAAAAGATTTGACTGAAATCCACAATCAAATCAATGGTTCAAATGGATTTGATTATTAAAGTTAAGGTACACTTTGATGGAGAATCTGTCTTCTGCATTTGACCTCTCAGACACAGTGACTCATCATTAGATTTTGAGCAAAGCTAATAAGGCAGTGCATTTGGTATAGAGCTATTCAGTGGATAGAGCCAAAGTGACTGAATAAGAAACAGTGTACAGGCCTTTATAACCTGCTCTGATTATTAAAAAAAAAAAAAAAAAAAAAAAAAAAGGGTGTGTTTG